CAGTAGAGCGTCGATTTTCCGAATCAATTGGGGACTGGGGTTGTCCGGATAACTGATATTTCGGATAACTGATTTACGTACGAAAAAATAGTTTAACGTATCCGATGTCGAAATTTTTCTCCGTTGCGTGTCGCTTCGCGTTGAATTTTCGTCGATGTTAAGCCTAATAGACTATTGTATCGTTAAAAATTAATTTTTTATTTTGTACAAACAAAATAAATATATTGAAAAATATAAAAATAATAAAAAATTATACTTCAGATGTTAATTTAGTATCAAAAACATAAAATATTTGAGTAGCCAAAGACATAGCCAAAGATTGAAGCGCCACAGCACTGGCGAAAATTTAAATTTGCCGACTGGAATTCTTTCGGATGATTGACTTTCGGAAAATCGACGCTCTACTGTATATAAAAATCAACTTTAGGATGAAAAGGTTGACCACATAAAAATAGTTTATACGAGTAGTTTGATATAAAAAGATGACAATTTTTTTTATGTGTATAGTGATGTTCTTTGAGTCTATTTCTACATAATGCTATAAAATAGTGTATTCTGTAACTTTTTGTTTGATAATTAAGATTACTAAACTTATGTGGTAAATGTGAAATACATTATTTTCTAGGAACGGATGTACTGTGATCTAAAATATACACAATGAATCATATATTTTACCTTTGCTTACATGTTCCTTCAAAAATCTCCTCTGCAATCGTTTTTCTGATGCATCCATTTTGTTCTGTCTTTTGAAACTAAATGCTTTAAGCTGAGAACGTTTCTGTACTTCTGTCATTTTATCACTGTCTAATATTTCTTCACTGTCTGATGTATCTGAGCATGTACAGCTATGTCCATTCAAAGAAGAATAATAGCCTAGACGACATTTCCGAATTCTCCAACGATAACCATCATGAAAACATTCCCATTTCTACAGAAAATGAATTATGTTTATTTATTTATTAGAATAAGACATTTAAATAAATATACATAAAATTTTCAAATGCAATGTAATCATAATTTATATAGAAGAGATTTTTAACAAAGTATATGAATAAATAAATGGTTACATAAATTAAGATTGATTAACTTTCCAAATTTTTCTTTACAATAATTACATTTAATTACTTCATAGAAAAACTCAGTATGATATATTCTGAAAAAATTTAAAGAGTTACATATTTTATGGTATTTTACAAATATTTTATATTAATATTACAAATAAATGGTATTATAATTTATAAGTGATACTCTTTATTTTGTAATACTGTATTTTCACAGAATGACTGGCATGCCGCATAAGAACAGGGTAGACCAACATGCCAGTTAAACTATGACTAAAATAGTGGGTGATTGATTAATGAACAGTTCAGACTGTGAAAAAATCAGACAATTTCGCAAAAGATTTTTATGTTCGGACAACAAACAGATGTTCATATAACTAACACATCACAGAACAAACACAAGAAGTGACGCTGCCTTTGAGATTTGAAAACCTTTATTTTAATGGCATCTATGAATGGTTTATAAAACAAGACTTTCACAGTTGTATACATAACTTTTTTTTGAACTAGTTAATTTCTGTTCTCTGAATTTTCAGTGCTTTTCTGAACTTTTTATTTATAAAACTGATAATATTATGGGGCCTAAAAAGAATGGGATGTCAAGAATTCCAGATGACTTCAACAGGTCAGTAGATACAATCTTAGCTAGGAAAGATATAATCAAAAAGACTCAAGCAGATAAAGGAATAATGAAAATCGCATCTGAGAAACAAAGATGTGTCATCCATGAAAAGATTGCTTTTAGTTTGTTATTACATGTAAATAAACATAGTAAGAAAGTTTCTTATTTATTTTTTAGGCTCCCTGAACAAATTAATCAAATTTCCACAAAAACCTATTGTAAATTGATAATCAGTTAATAAACAATTTGGGTAGTGAATATGGTCTTGGAATGGATTATGTTTGTTAACTGATCACCCACTGTATAAAATTAATCAATCTAACAAAACTAGTTGTTAATTAATTAAACATTAAAGAAAACATTCTTCTGAGTGCAATAAAATAACAACATTGTAATTTGACTGACTTAAAGTCAGGAAATATTTTTGTTTACAAGACAATAAACAATTAACAACTTATTGGTGGTGGTGGTGGTGGCAAGTCAGTGAGAGCTACACTGACCATTCACCCTACCTTAAAAATAACATCTTTGTATCAAATTTCACACAAAGGGAATATTACTCAGTGTAAGATGAGATAATTTACAAAGAGTTTCTTAAATTTAATATGTTTATTTTTGTGTTTTTGAATGTAACAACAATAAAATACACACACACACAAAAAAACACCACTTTTGGAATTCCACAAGCATTTTACCCATTGGAAAGAAAACAAAATGAAGAAATTAAATGTATAAGTTTTTGATGTAATGCTGACAGTTTCACAGTTCTAGAATAAAAACTTGTTTGTTTTTTTGTAACAAAACTCATTTGTTTTTATAGTGTGCCTTCTAGAGAGTGATGTATAATTTCAAACTGGCATGCCATCATCCCTCAGGATAAACCAGCCAATTTTTAACATACAGAAATATCTGATTTTCTGGTCCCCTCAGATAGTCTGGCATGCCAGTCATTCTGCAAAAATATGGTACAAATATTACAAAATAAACAATACCATTTTACAAATACTTAACTCTAAGCTCTAAAAACTTCTTCTTTCCTTGTACCTGGAGGATATATTGCTTTTACTCTCAGGTTATAAGGTGAATTTGCATAGCAAACCCAGTCAAACAACTTTTCATTCAACCAATTCCGTCTTAAACGGATTAAGCCAATTTTGGCTGATTTCATGTTTAAAGAGTTAACAGTATTTTAAACCCCAAAGTTTGTTTATTTTTTTCATGCTTTACCTTTTAATTCATCTAACCATACTTGTATTGGAACACCATTCATTAAATTCCTTACATAGAGTTAATTTTTCTACCAGTCTCCAAACATTGTTAAATTAATCAAAAAGTAGTTGTATCAGGAATTTCATATTTTTAAAACATATCACCGAAAGTGTTTTATCCTTCATGAAACACTAATGTAATTTATCAATTATATTTTATTTTAACAATGTATGTATGTATTTTAACAAATTAAATGTAATTTTTATTGTATTTTAATTTTCATGTATCATTGTATTTGTTGCTATTTGCAACTTTATAGTTTTATTTTTTTTTATTTGACTTTAAATGGGTTTGTTGTAACAGTGGCAGTAATCATGCATTCATGAGAATGCTACTGTAAGATTATAAAAACTAAAAAAACAACAAAATGTTCAATGTTTTAGCTGATGAATAATACTATATGTTCTTCTGTTACTTTATCATTAAGCCATACAATAAAGTTTAAATAAAATTCTCTTTTGTTCATTATTTGTCTAACCATTTGTTTCACATAAAGTAAAATTATTAATTCTGTAACATAAATTATTGATACTGAAATACTCCTCATTTGTTTTGAATATTGTGTATTTAACTTTGATTTACAAATCTATTTAATTACATAAAAAAATGTAAAAAAGTAAACACATTTGTCAAATACTTGGCAATTCTATGGATTTTTCTTCCTACATTTATATTGTTATAATAACCTAAAAATAATAAATGTTTAATCCAATTATCAAATAATAACAAAATTTACTAGTAATAAACAGATTATTTACCTGAAATGGTTTACAAGGTGAAGCAAAATCTTCATTTTGACATTCTACTGAAAGTCTTTCATCTTTTGTAAGTTTTGTTTGCGTTGGAGATGAAAGTTGTCCTTTCAAAGCTTTTCTCATTGCAGGTGTAATTACACTAATATTAAAAAAAATTAATTTTTAATCTACATGAAAATAAACATTATGCAAAAATAAAAAATATAACTTTAATGAATAATTTATCTAATATTTTATAATTTTCAATGTCATGTTAAGCATATAGTGTGTAAGCTAAAAACTAAAAGTTGCCACTAAATCTTACTCTAACAAATCTTTAATCTCAGAACATTTTCATAATCATTTCATTCATTTTACAGAAATTTTCCACAAAATTAAATATATTCCTTTTTTTCAATAGTAAGTATATTTCCCACAACACATTACTTAATCCATAATTATGCTACATAATATTAAATAAATTTTGTTAATTGTGTGAACAGAATAAATTATATGGATAAGTATAATTAACTATACAGTGGTTCAGGGAACAAACATATTGCTCAATTAAATTACTTCAAGGAAAAGCAGCCTGATGTAATCCAGAAATTATTTAGCTTATTGCTATGAGAACATGTTGGGTTTTGAGATGTTTGTACCATATTTTCACAGAATGTCCAGCATGTTCGTCTGTCTGACCATGAAATCAGATATTTCCATATGGTAAAAACTCACATGCAAATTTATCCTGGGCATGCCGATTTAAGTGAAGTTAAACATCCCTCTCTAGAGGGTGCATTAAAAAACTAATAAGCTTTTATTCTAAAACTGCAAAACTGTTAGCATTATATCAAAGACTACGATTATATGTTTTAATTTCTTCATTTTGTCTTCTTTCTAATGATGTAAAGTGTGAAATTTGAAAGGAAAGTATTATTTTTAAGGTCAGGTAGATGGGCAGTGCAGCCCTCACTGACTAACTTCTACTACTACTAAAGTCAATAAGATATTAATTGTTTTATTGTACTGTAAAGGAAAACTCTTCCTGATTTTAAGTTGGTCAAATTATAATAATAATATTTTGTGGTTAGACTACATCTATAACACTATACTTATGGAAATCAAAATCATGTATGAACACACTGTTTGTGACAGCCATGCCATAAAATTTAACCACAAAATACCATATGATAATTCGTTTATAATTAGCAATTATGGCATTCATGGAAATTGGCACATAAGCAAAGCAAGTGGGCCAAACTTCCATTCATGACATAATCGCCTATATTATAAACTAATTGCATAATATACTATTATTGTAATCCAAAATGTTTTCTTTAACATTTAATTAACAACTAGTTTTGTTAGATTTGATTACTGTAATTTTATTTTTTAGTTGCAGTTTAACAGGCATGCTAGTAACTCTGGGGTTTCCGGCATGTTGGTCTAACCCAGTTATATGCAACTTGCCAGTCATTCCGTGAAAATACAGTATATGTATTTCATTCCTTTTGGAATTATTTTTGGACATTCTTCTTGAAATAAAATGTATTTTATAGAGTAAAATATTCAATTTCATTGATAAAAAAGGTGGAACACACNGTTTATAAAGAATTTTTGGCTCAGCAACAAACTTCCTTAAAAATTTTTGAATTTTTATTTTAAAATTTCATATAAATAAATCAGTATTCTTAATTTTCCACAAATTTTATACTCACAAATTCAATTCACCTCATATTCATTAACTGTCAAGTCTAATAAATGAGATAATTGAATAATTCCATCCACATCAAACTGCATTTCATCATGATCTGACAGATCTCTACGAGGCCGTGATCCAATAAATACTGGTTTAAACTCTGTAAAAAAAAATTTGTTTATATTAAATAGCAATGCTGAATTCAAAATAAAAAAATTAGTAGAATATTTAAATATCATAAAACATTACTTAATTACTTAATTGTTACTTTATTATTACAAAATAAATATCTGTAATTGAATGCCATTATCTGTTTTATATTTAATGAAGTATTTTTAAAATTTACTCTCTCCAATTAACAATTTTAAAAAAATTTATGTTTTTGTAATTCATTGATAAAATTATTTTCATTTGACAATAATTATCAATTAAATATATAGGCTGTAATTAAAACAAATAATCTACCAATTATCAGGCTATAGTTTAGTCTTATTAGAGCCAAATAATTCAGCAAATCTGATTTTAATGAAAGTAATCAAATTAGCAGAGTTCTTTATACAGTAGAACCTCGAAAACTCGGCCCTCGATAACCCGGATAACTCGCGCACTCCGGATAACTCGTGCACACCCTGGCAGGGCAAAAGAATCCTTGATAATTAATTTTCATCATAGATAGCTTTATAAAAGTATTAAACCTTTCATAAAGCATTTTTCTGAGGTCTTTCTTATCAGGTAAATTATTATACACAGTGTATTCATTAATTTTTATTTTCATGTAGTAAAGGCTCTATGCCTTCATAAAGTACGTAGTTTTCCTTTGTTTAAGGGNGGTTTAAACTCTGTAAAAAAAAATTTGTTTATATTAAATAGCAATGCTGAATTCAAAATAAAAAAATTAGTAGAATATTTAAATATCATAAAACATTACTTAATTACTTAATTGTTACTTTATTATTACAAAATAAATATCTGTAATTGAATGCCATTATCTGTTTTATATTTAATGAAGTATTTTTAAAATTTACTCTCTCCAATTAACAATTTTAAAAAAATTTATGTTTTTGTAATTCATTGATAAAATTATTTTCATTTGACAATAATTATCAATTAAATATATAGGCTGTAATTAAAACAAATAATCTACCAATTATCAGGCTATAGTTTAGTCTTATTAGAGCCAAATAATTCAGCAAATCTGATTTTAATGAAAGTAATCAAATTAGCAGAGTTCTTTATACATATATATAAACTTCCTCTATCATCAGTTAAAATTTAAAAATTTTACTTGTTTAACTAGTAAAAGTATTAGAATTGTAAATTATATTTTCATAAGCATAAGAGCATATATATATATATATATATATGTAATAACTAACAATAACCAATAAAATAGATAACAAATAAAATTTTAAATTTTAACTGGTGTCAAAGGAAATTTTTAGTACATTTACATGCTTTGGTTGGGAGAAGCTTTAAAAGACAGGTTAGCTCCTCTGCATATTTTTGTGTTTCTGTGGTATTATAAAGAATGAACTGAAAAATTATTTGTATGCAATTTCTACCTAGAAATATTACAAAATCTACTTTTAAAAATTTTTCATCCAGATTTATTATTCAATAGTTTTCAATTTTTTGAATAACTAAACAAAATAAATTGTAAGAATTCTCTTCTATTCTACATAAAAATCATAAAATTTATTAAAAATCCATAAAACTATTGCAATAAACTCAAGAGAAAAATTGATTTTGAAAATAAACAGATTTAATTATAACAAAGCACCATACTTATAGAATACTTCAAAAGCACCATAAAACATGATAATCCCTCTCTTATTTTATCATGATAAAAATATTATAGGTATGCAAAAACAATGTTAACATTTCAAACAAATTTTATACAAAAATAAAACCTAATATTTAGATATGCATTTTTCCACATGCAGGATTTATATCATAATTCCTTGGTCTAAACTGAAAGCTGTAAACATTCCAAAATTTCTCAATAAAAGATGACAGCAATTCTAATTATACAGATACCTCTAATTGAATGTAAAAAGGAATACAAAAAACAGATTCTTTGAGAAAGGCAATGTACTAAACTATTGCAAATGGTTTTAAATTACAACTATATTCTTAAGATTTTCTCTGTGCTATAAAATAAGACCATAAATTATTGATAAAATTTAATACTATTGATCAATAACTTTGTTTCTTCAATTAGAAGTTCTTATTAAGAATAATTAAATTTCTATCATCATCTTGAAATAATAAAATCCAAATAGTAGAAAATATGATTATAAAACAAGCAAACAGAAATGAAGTTTAATGATAATTCAATTTAATCGCAGAAAATTTTGATGATAATTTTTACTATTTATGACAGATATACAGTAGAGCGTCGATTTTCCGAATCAATTGGGGACTGGGGTTGTCCGGATAACTGATATTTCGGATAACTGATTTACGTACGAAAAATATATTAATTATCTCATCTTGACATTTTTCTCCGTTGCGTGTCGCTTCGCGTTGAATTTTCATCGATGTTAAACCTAACAAAGACTATTGTATCGTAAATTATTTTTTTATTTTGTACAAAGAAAATAAATGTATTGAAAAATATAAAAATAATAAAAAATTATACTTCAGATGTTAATTTAGTATCAAAAACATAAAATATTTGAGTAGCCAAAGACATAGCCAAAGATTGAAGCGCCACAGCACTGGCGAAAATTTAAATTTGCCGACTGGAATTCTTTCGGATGATTGACTTTCGGAAAATCGACGCTCTACTGTATATAAAAATCAACTTTAGGATGAAAAGGTTGACCACATAAAAATAGTTTATACGAGTAGTTTGATATAAAAAGATGACAATTTTTTTTATGTGTATAGTGATGTTCTTTGAGTCTATTTCTACATAATGCTATAAAATAGTGTATTCTGTAACTTTTTGTTTGATAATTAAGATTACTAAACTTATGTGGTAAATGTGAAATACATTATTTTCTAGGAACGGATGTACTGTGATCTAAAATATACACAATGAATCATATATTTTACCTTTGCTTACATGTTCCTTCAAAAATCTCCTCTGCAATCGTTTTTCTGATGCATCCATTTTGTTCTGTCTTTTGAAACTAAATGCTTTAAGCTGAGAACGTTTCTGTACTTCTGTCATTTTATCACTGTCTAATATTTCTTCACTGTCTGATGTATCTGAGCATGTACAGCTATGTCCATTCAAAGAAGAATAATAGCCTAGACGACATTTCCGAATTCTCCAACGATAACCATCATGAAAACATTCCCATTTCTACAGAAAATGAATTATGTTTATTTATTTATTAGAATAAGACATTTAAATAAATATACATAAAATTTTCAAATGCAATGTAATCATAATTTATATAGAAGAGATTTTTAACAAAGTATATGAATAAATAAATGGTTACATAAATTAAGATTGATTAACTTTCCAAATTTTTCTTTACAATAATTACATTTAATTACTTCATAGAAAAACTCAGTATGATATATTCTGAAAAAATTTAAAGAGTTACATATTTTATGGTATTTTACAAATATTTTATATTAATATTACAAATAAATGGTATTATAATTTATAAGTGATACTCTTTATTTTGTAATACTGTATTTTCACAGAATGACTGGCATGCCGCATAAGAACAGGGTAGACCAACATGCCAGTTAAACTATGACTAAAATAGTGGGTGATTGATTAATGAACAGTTCAGACTGTGAAAAAATCAGACAATTTCGCAAAAGATTTTTATGTTCGGACAACAAACAGATGTTCATATAACTAACACATCACAGAACAAACACAAGAAGTGACGCTGCCTTTGAGATTTGAAAACCTTTATTTTAATGGCATCTATGAATGGTTTATAAAACAAGACTTTCACAGTTGTATACATAACTTTTTTTTGAACTAGTTAATTTCTGTTCTCTGAATTTTCAGTGCTTTTCTGAACTTTTTATTTATAAAACTGATAATATTATGGGGCCTAAAAAGAATGGGATGTCAAGAATTCCAGATGACTTCAACAGGTCAGTAGATACAATCTTAGCTAGGAAAGATATAATCAAAAAGACTCAAGCAGATAAAGGAATAATGAAAATCGCATCTGAGAAACAAAGATGTGTCATCCATGAAAAGATTGCTTTTAGTTTGTTATTACATGTAAATAAACATAGTAAGAAAGTTTCTTATTTATTTTTTAGGCTCCCTGAACAAATTAATCAAATTTCCACAAAAACCTATTGTAAATTGATAATCAGTTAATAAACAATTTGGGTAGTGAATATGGTCTTGGAATGGATTATGTTTGTTAACTGATCACCCACTGTATAAAATTAATCAATCTAACAAAACTAGTTGTTAATTAATTAAACATTAAAGAAAACATTCTTCTGAGTGCAATAAAATAACAACATTGTAATTTGACTGACTTAAAGTCAGGAAATATTTTTGTTTACAAGACAATAAACAATTAACAACTTATTGGTGGTGGTGGTGGTGGCAAGTCAGTGAGAGCTACACTGACCATTCACCCTACCTTAAAAATAACATCTTTGTATCAAATTTCACACAAAGGGAATATTACTCAGTGTAAGATGAGATAATTTACAAAGAGTTTCTTAAATTTAATATGTTTATTTTTGTGTTTTTGAATGTAACAACAATAAAATACACACACACACAAAAAAACACCACTTTTGGAATTCCACAAGCATTTTACCCATTGGAAAGAAAACAAAATGAAGAAATTAAATGTATAAGTTTTTGATGTAATGCTGACAGTTTCACAGTTCTAGAATAAAAACTTGTTTGTTTTTTTGTAACAAAACTCATTTGTTTTTATAGTGTGCCTTCTAGAGAGTGATGTATAATTTCAAACTGGCATGCCATCATCCCTCAGGATAAACCAGCCAATTTTTAACATACAGAAATATCTGATTTTCTGGTCCCCTCAGATAGTCTGGCATGCCAGTCATTCTGCAAAAATATGGTACAAATATTACAAAATAAACAATACCATTTTACAAATACTTAACTCTAAGCTCTAAAAACTTCTTCTTTCCTTGTACCTGGAGGATATATTGCTTTTACTCTCAGGTTATAAGGTGAATTTGCATAGCAAACCCAGTCAAACAACTTTTCATTCAACCAATTCCGTCTTAAACGGATTAAGCCAATTTTGGCTGATTTCATGTTTAAAGAGTTAACAGTATTTTAAACCCCAAAGTTTGTTTATTTTTTTCATGCTTTACCTTTTAATTCATCTAACCATACTTGTATTGGAACACCATTCATTAAATTCCTTACATAGAGTTAATTTTTCTACCAGTCTCCAAACATTGTTAAATTAATCAAAAAGTAGTTGTATCAGGAATTTCATATTTTTAAAACATATCACCGAAAGTGTTTTATCCTTCATGAAACACTAATGTAATTTATCAATTATATTTTATTTTAACAATGTATGTATGTATTTTAACAAATTAAATGTAATTTTTATTGTATTTTAATTTTCATGTATCATTGTATTTGTTGCTATTTGCAACTTTATAGTTTTATTTTTTTTTATTTGACTTTAAATGGGTTTGTTGTAACAGTGGCAGTAATCATGCATTCATGAGAATGCTACTGTAAGATTATAAAAACTAAAAAAACAACAAAATGTTCAATGTTTTAGCTGATGAATAATACTATATGTTCTTCTGTTACTTTATCATTAAGCCATACTATAAAGTTTAAATAAAATTCTCTTTTGTTCATTATTTGTCTAACCATTTGTTTCACATAAAGTAAAATTATTAATTCCGTAACATAAATTATTGATACTGAAATACTCCTCATTTGTTTTGAATATTGTGTATTTAACTTTGATTTACAAATCTATTTAATTACATAAAAAAATGTAAAAAAGTAAACACATTTGTCAAATATTTGGCAATTCTATGGATTTTTTTTCCTACATTTATATTGTTATAATAACCTAAAAATAATAAATGTTTAATCCAATTATCAAATAATAACAAAATTTACTAGTAATAAACAGATTATTTACCTGAAATGGTTTACAAGGTGAAGCAAAATCTTCATTTTGACATTCTACTGAAAGTCTTTCATCTTTTGTAAGTTTTGTTTGCGTTGGAGATGAAAGTTGTCCTTTCAAAGCTTTTCTCATTGCAGGTGTAATTACACTAATATTAAAAAAAATTAATTTTTAATCTACATGAAAATAAACATTATGCAAAAATATAACTTTAATGAATAATTTATCTAATATTTTATAATTTTCAATGTCATGTTAAGCATATAGTGTGTAAGCTAAAAACTAAAAGTTGCCACTAAATCTTACTCTAACAAATCTTTAATCTCAGAACATTTTCATAATCATTTCATTCATTTTACAGAAATTTTCCACAAAATTAAATATATTCCTTTTTTTCAATAGTAAGTATATTTCCCACAACACATTACTTAATCCATAATTATGCTACATAATATTAAATAAATTTTGTTAATTGTGTGAACAGAATAAATTATATGGATAAGTATAATTAACTATACAGTGGTTCAGGGAACAAACATATTGCTCAATTAAATTACTTCAAGGAAAAGCAGCCTGATGTAATCCAGAAATTATTTAGCTTATTGCTATGAGAGCATGTTGGGTTTTGAGATGTTTGTACCATATTTTCACAGAATGTCCAGCATGTCCGTCTGTCTGACCATGAAATCAGATATTTCCATATGGTAAAAACTCACATGCAAATTTATCCTGGGCATGCCGATTTAAGTGAAGTTAAACATCCCTCTCTAGAGGGTGCATTAAAAAACTAATAAGCTTTTATTCTAAAACTGCAAAACTGTTAGCATTATATCAAAGACTACGATTATATGTTTTAATTTCTTCATTTTGTCTTCTTTCTAATGATGTAAAGTGTGAAATTTGAAAGGAAAGTATTATTTTTAAGGTCAGGTAGATGGGCAGTGCAGCCCTCACTGACTAACTTCTACTACTACTAAAGTCAATAAGATATTAATTGTTTTATTGTACTGTAAAGGAAAACTCTTCCTGATTTTAAGTTGGTCAAATTATAATAATAATATTTTGTGGTTAGACTACATCTATAACACTATACTTATGGAAATCAAAATCATGTATGAACACACTGTTTGTGACAGCCATGCCATAAAATTTAACCACAAAATACCATATGATAATTCGTTTATAATTAGCAATTATGGCATTCATGGAAATTGGCACATAAGCAAAGCAAGTGGGCCAAACTTCCATTCATGACATAATCGCCTATATTATAAACTAATTGCATAATATACTATTATTGTAATCCAAAATGTTTTCTTTAACATTTAATTAACAACTAGTTTTGTTAGATTTGATTAATTTTATTTTTTAGTTGCAGTTTAACAGGCATGCTAGTAACTCTGGGGTTTCCAGCATGTTGGTCTAACTCAGTTATATGCAACTTGCCAGTCATTCCGTGAAAATACAGTATATGTATTTCATTCCTTTTGGAATTATTTTTGGACATTCTTCTTGAAATAAAATGTATTTTATAGAGTAAAATATTCAATTTCATTGATAAAAAAGGTGGAACACACAAATAAATAAATAAATATATATAAATTTTTTGAGACTATCATAATTTTTAATAACTGCAACAGAAAATAAATTTTATTATACCATATATGTCTTAAGTCAAAATCTATGAAATTAATCAAATCTTTTTAATAATAACTTACATTGAAGTATATTTAGTAATATTCTAATATTCTATATACTTTTTGAATAAAGTATTTTTATTTTTAAAAATAAAATTTCTTAATTAATTTGAAAATTATTTTAAAATAATTACCCTCTTTCAATAAGAAAAGTATCTCTCCAAGACTTTTTATGCTTCACTTCCCCATGACTGTGACCAGATCTAATTAATATCATGGAATTCATTAAAAAAGAAATTCCTTATATAAATAAATATTTATATTATTAGAAATTCACATAAATAATTGAACTGATATTAATCATAACAATTAAAACATAGAATTTAACATGAATACAGACTTCTAATGATTGTATTATTACATAATCTATAGTCTTGATAAAACTTAATTATCAATTAAAAATTTATTGATGAACAAAATAAGACTCTTAACATTGCAAAATTTATTTTTAAGTACTTTCAGCAACTTTGAAAAACTGCATAAAATATTAGAAATTTACATTTAAAATAATAAATGATTAATAATAATAGTTAATAAAATTATTGAATGCTTTTTATGTAATATTTAATTTTATTGCTCAATATTAAAATTTTTATACAATACCATCTTCTATTTGTAACCAGATAGTTATAATTTATCTAATGTTATATATCTAATTCTGATAAGTTAAAATATATTTATAAATCATCACTTATTGTAATCACATAAACATCAACCCAATTCAATGGATTAATGCCAACTAAACTGTGGGATTATTACTCAGGCTATAACAAGGCTAGTTTAATGATTACATGTAAAGCAGTTTGGCTATAGGTAGATGGTTAGGCTGTCATCTAATAATAAATTTAATTTTTAATTTAAATTTACAATAGTAGTCATAATTGTAAAACTATGAACAGTGGCATCTTTAAATTATTTGAATCACTAAATTAATGCAGTTGAAATGACAAATAATAATCTCTCTATTTGTCACTGACTTCAGAGACTCAAGTAAATGAGAACTTTTACATTTGGAAAAGTGTTTTATTTTCCCTTGATTTAACTTTTTTTACAAAGTACATTGGCCAATTACCTGTTTGGTCCTCAGTATAGATTTAAAAAATGTCCAGACATTCACAAATTCAGCATTATAATTTTTACTGTACATGAATTGCTTTTTTACAATGTAAACACCATTAGTTCACTTTTCTATGAAATTAAAGAGACTTCTTACATTTGTAAATTCTGCATTATTCTTTTTTAAATTACACAAATTACTTTCACTGTGTACACGCCACTAGTTCATTTATCCTGTTACTATAACTAGTACATTTCTATTAATTGTACAACAAAACAACCATTATATTTTATAAAATTTTAGTAATTAATATATTACAAATAAAATTATAAGTTGAAAGCTGTTTTATATCATATAAACATATAATACAATAAATACTTACATAACCCAATTATAGGCATCTTTTAACAATGGAAGAATTGACTTTCCATCCATATGTTCTGGAACCTGAACACCTGCAATATCGAGGAATGTTGGTGCAATATCTAAATTCAGAACAATATCACGTATCCTAAAAATTAATAATTTTTTGTTAATTTACTTAAATATTTCTAATATTAAAATAAAAAGTTGAAAGTTTATAAAGAATATAATTATTTACATTATAAACCTAAACTTTAATTATTCAAAATATATATATATACATATATATAATGAATACTAAACAAAACTTATCTTCTTTGATGTCTTTCATATATACAAAGAATATACCTTAAGAATTATTATTTTATCTAGAGTTCTCATTCATGAAAATGATATCAAAGATAATGAGATTGGCATATATATTTTTAAAATTGTATAGTTCATATAAAATAAATACAATTTCAATTCTTAGGCAAAAAATTATTTGGCTTTCAACAATTACAGAATATTCAAAATTTCTTTAAACTTAATTGCAATTAAAAGTTTTAAAAGTTTGGGACTGGAATCAACTTATATACATATACATCAAATCTAATTCCAAAATTTTTATATTGTCATTCTCTGATTATATAAAATTTATTATACATAAACTTTAAATATGTAATATAAATTGAAGTATATCTGTTAATCAGTTGCCAATGTAATGCTATTACTTTATGATCTTGTAATAAATTTTAATAATAATAATAATAATAATCTATAAATGTAGAAAATACTTATAACGGAAAAACTAAGTGTTTTGTATATCATAACAAAATCCAAAAAGCATAAACACTAAATTAACTTCTGAAGTACAGTAGATCCCCCTATAAGACGGTAGATACGTTCCGTTCTTTATGAATCAATTTTGTAGGAATCATAGTTTACGGACTACGGCTGTTTGAAAGGTTTTCTTTCATAAAATTAATCGATTCTAGACTAATTCGACTCAACATTTCCAAAATACGTATATTTTTTTGAAAATAATCCGTATAAACTACGTTATAAACAAAAAATTGTAGGATTGCTTACCGAGTGTGTACCGTTCGACTACGCCCGTTGCTAAAGCTTGGTTTCGTCGCGGAACAGCGCATCAAACCGCGGCCGCGATTTCTGATATTATTTTTCTGCGAAAACTTCGTTGACCTTTGGAGACATCCTTAATATAAATAATTTTTATGGCCGTTAAATAAGAAATGTTTCTTTCACAAGAAATGTATAAAATTACAGTACTGTATTAGACTTACGGTACCTAATTTACATACTGTACAGACGATAGTAAACTCAACTTACTCGCCTAAACTCTCTGTAGCGTGGCGCTGGACGGCGGAAAGTATATATATAATTATAATAAAGTTACAATAAATTAAGTTAATATATAATTATATGTACAGTACCTAATTTATATATAATTAATATATAATTATATGTACAGTACCTAATTTATATATAATTATATGAACAGACGATACTAAACTCAATTTATCCGCCTAAACGTCCGTAGCGTGGCGCTACGGACGGCGGGAAAGTAGTTCGGCTGCCCGATGACGTTTTACGTATTATAGGAGTTATTTTTACCGTTGTTTACGGATACTGCCACAATTTTTATAGGAATCATAACTATAGGAAACGGTTTTATAGGGGGATCTACTGTATAATTTTTAACTTCTGAAGTATAATTTTTTATTGTTTTTATATTTTTCAATATATTTATTTCAAAATAAAAAAATAATTTTTAACGATACAATAGTCTTCATTAGGCTTAACATCAACGAAAATTCAATGTGAAGCGACACACAATGGAGAAAAATTTCAAATGGGATAAGTTAATATATTTTTTCACACATAATCAGTTATCCGAAATATTGATTTCCGAACAACCCCAGTCCCCAATTGATTCGGATAATCGACGCTCTATTGTATTTTAATATTAATGACCAATAAATGAGGAAATCAGAATCAACTCAAAAATTTTAAGAAAAAGTTTATATTTTAAAAAAAAAATAAGTTTATTACTTATCAAATTTAGCTTAACAACATTTTTATATTTCAATTTATATTTATTTCTTTTATATCAAGGTGAACCAGTTTTTCCCATCTAGCTTTTGAAATTTCTCAAGTTTTATTATTTTACAACCCATGATATTCTTAATGTCTAAAAGACATTTATCTAAAAATTCCTAATTTCAGATATTCTAAATAAAAAAATACTCTTAAACTTTCTTAATGCATAAATCAGCAATCAGATTATCTGATAAATATTAAAAACAGTATACTTAGTTATCCATGTTAAAATATAAACATACATATGATACACAATACAAATTTATATTCATTTTGTTATTGAGATGGCATAAGATAAACTTTTAGTGGACTTCAATGTAATAAATACTTTATTAAAGATTCAACAAGACTATACTTTAGTTAGTTCTTATATTTATAGCTAATTTCATATTTTTATAAAAATGGAAATCATATTTTCAATTCTAAATAAACAATTGATAAGTTCAGTTGTCTGTCAAGTTTTGACAATTGAATTTTTAAAAATTTTTCTACATGTGCCATCCATTACCAAATGTGACATTTACAAAGTAGATAAAGTCAACATCAAAATTTCAGTTGATTCAACTGTGTCAAAAGCAACAGCACTTTTAGATATTGATTGAAAAATTATAAGTGAACAAAGAGTAAATACCGAATTCTGTACTAAACTTGGCAAAACAGTAACAGATATATATCAAATGATGCAATAAGTCTATGGAAATGATTATTTGATTTGTGTTAGTGTTTTTCAGAGATTCCTTCATTTTATAATGGCAGTGTGAGCATTGAAGACTACACAAGGGCATTAAATCGACACATGCTGTATGGACAATCAAGTCAAGAAAGTGCAAGGTTTATTGAAATCTGGCCATTTCTGGTAATTAAACTTTTGTTATTATTATTTTTAATTTAACCAGTCACACCAGAACTTGGATACACTGGGTATATATGAATATACTGACCAATTAATATTTTCTTATATTTTGAAATCTGCAACAATGTTTAATCATTTTATAAACTGCACAAAACTTTAAAATAATTACCTGACACCTGTTGGCACTCTTGGTCCACGAATATAAAAAGGAACTCTTATATCAAATTCAAAAGGCATAGACTTGCCTTTAACCAATCCAAACTGACCCAAATGATAGCCATGATCTGAAGTGTAGAAGATGTATGTATTTTCAAGTTCTCCAATCAATTTTAACTCTTTATAAAGCTATAGGAAAAATTTAATAAAATTTTGAAAAAATACAAACATATTTTCCTTAAAATCATCAAATTAAAATTTAGTTTATTAAATATTAACAAATATTTATCTGATAATTTTCAAAGACTAACAAATAAAAATAATATTTAATGAAATTTATGTACACAGCATTTCAAAATTTACTAATTGCTTTTAATTTTAAATTATGGCAGTAATTAAAATATTTAAAGTGTGTACAGTCGACCCCCCTATAACACTGTTGATAATTTTGTTTTATATGAATTTCATGTTGTACGAGTCACTTAGATTTTACAAATACATAAGCCGTTCATATGTATTTGTAAGAGCTAAGTGACTCGTACAACATGAAATTCATATAAAACAAAATTATCAACAGCATTATAGGGGGTCAACTGTATATACAAAATATATACACAAAAAATTACAATGTAAATTTATTAAATCAAATAAAAAATTTTTTATATCACTCTACAATTATTACTGATATCAAAAAATAATGNTAACATTCCCAAATTATACAATTATTACTGATATCAAAAAATAATGTTTAAATACAATTATAATCATGCTTATTTCTACTTCATAAAATAGCAAATGTTAACTGATTTTAATATAGACTGATTGGGAAAAATTAATTAAAAACTATAATATCATAAAGTACTCAGCAAATCACTACATATAAATAACACCTTATCTTTGCCAAGAAATATAATTTATTTCAAAACAAACGTTTTCAGTCTGATTCACAGGCCATCCTCAGGTCAAGAACCAAATTTGAATCAAAGGAGACCTGAGGATGGCCTCTGAATCAGGCTGAAAACGTTTGTTTTGAAATAAATTATATTTCTTGGCAAAGATAAGGTGTTATTTATACGTAAAAACTATAATTACAAACGAACAAAAACATTTAAAATATTGAAGTGACAAATTGTTTTGAAAAATGTTTATATAAACAATAAAATAACTTTATTTATCAAATTCATTATTATTCAGGGGTCACTGAAAAATTTTAAAAAAGTTGCCAACCATTTCACCAGTTTTAAATTTTTTTCACAACTTTAAATTATTTATTGCCACCAGTTTTACTAACTAATTAATGCAGGTGCTGGCAGCCTTATCAGTTTAGAGTCTGGAAAGCAAAACTAACATGTTAAACTGTCACTTAGAAATAGGAATCATTTTTCAATAATTTTTTAATGAATAATTCCAAATAACATATCTGATCACAATGCTTAAACAGTATTTCACATATTCCGTCATGTCAAAAATTTTGTGCTTTAATCTACTGAAAAAAGATCAAAGTGAAAAAAAATGTGTTACCCTGAAAAATTTCCCAAAATTTCTGTCAGTTGATAAAAAAAATTCCCAATCTGGAAACACTGGGCAGCATTAAACTAAAATTGCCTTTAGTCCTCAACGTCACTTCCTGCTTTCCTGCCTAAACTTTCTGCTTGACGTCATCACATTGCATTCATTATTAATGGTCACTCTGCATCTCTGCTATAATGGGCATGAACTGCTGTTTGCAGCACCCATATATGTATATATTGATAGTATCATGAAGATGAGTTCTATAATTTTAAAATTTCCATTTTGAAGACAAAAGTTAAAAGAAGAGTTGTAAAATTTCATAATCAAATGAGTTGTCTTGCTAATGGAACATTCAAAGCAGCAAAAAAAAAAAAAATTAAAATTAAAATACTGGCTAACATTTGAAAAATTTCATAACTCTTACCTACACCATCATGTACTTTCACAACTTCTAAATTTTCATTCATAAAACCATATAATAGATAGTGAAACAAAACTATTAAACCATAGAGGATGCCATGTTGCTTTCCTCCGTAAACTATTATTACAAGCAGACGTTTTTGTTGTTTGCTGATATGCACTTTGGCCAGAACATAGGAACACGTTCTGAAGGAATTTTTAAATAGATGCCATGCATATACATGAAGGAATAAAAGAATGCATCCTAGATGTGTGGTACACAGAATTCCCATTCACAGAAGCTGGACATTCTGTTCTTTTTCCTGAAGTGTGCTTTGTGATTCAATTTCATACTGAATATCGAAATAAACAGACTAGGGTTTTATCACCAGTATTATATTGTTATTGTCACTTTAATAAAAATATTGCCAAGTGGCAATTTTAGTGCTATGCAGTGCAACCTGATTATTCAATTTTTTCTGAACTGGAATAGAGAAAATTTTTGATATTGGTGTGAACATATCTCATAAAACAATGTTTCTAATCTAATAGATCTATAGTATTCTTAAATTATATCAATCTTTCATATGGCTAGAAGAGAGTTGCTATATAATATATGGAAATCACTATTCTGAATATTCTTATTTGATCAGTTAAAACTTAAGATGCAATGAGTTTTTACATATTCTTTCTTATTTTTATTACATCAACAGAAAAAAACTGCTTCTGTTTAGAATTTAAAAATAATTACTAAAATCACAAATAAAAAGTTAAAAAGATTTTCTGATAAATTCGTAAGTCCAATAATTTATCTCCATCATTATAACAGTTTTATCATTCTTAGAATTAATACAGTTTATAATGATTACAATCCTTTTCTAAACCATCAAAAGTAACTAGTTATTACAAAAACATAAATTGTTTTTTGACAATTATAAAACAGAAACCATTAAAATAAATTCTTTAACATAATAGCTAGAAATTAGGTTTGTTAAACACATTTAGGATAAGTATTATGAATAAACAAAATAAAACTGAAGCTATTATTAACAAGAATGAGAATTAGATATTCATTAACTAAAAATTAACTTATCAGAAGTAATTTTAATACTGCAAATTTAATTTTTTAAACTGAATAATCACAAACTTTGTTGAGATATTAATAGGCAATTTTTATGGGCAAATATATTTCATAAAATCCGATGTGCAAGGACTTCTCTTTAGTACATTTCTTCATTGATTTTTTAGTTTTTCTTGTAAGGATCAAAACATTTTTTAAATAGTATTTTCCAATTTGTTATTTATTTATGAATAAGAATTTATTATTTTTTAGAATATTTACATATTTTTATGGTAAAATATCTTTCTAGACATGTACAGTTTAGAAAAAATTAATCAAAATTAACAAAATGATATTTTACATTCAAAGTAATTTATTTTCTCCAATCTAATTTCTATCCTACATGCATTTAATTAAAAGTAGATTTTCATTTAACATTCTTATGGAATAAAGAAATTCTATTTTGTTTATTATGAATTTTGTTATTTAATTTCAAGTTACATTTAATACAGCAGATTTAAAATAATTTCATATGCAAAAATAGTGAATTTATTTATATATATTTCACTAACCTTATCTACTGCATCATCAACAGATTGAAGTGTTTGAAGACGTTTTGTATGTAACATATCAGTAAACTTTATATGTAATGGCTCCATTTTTCCTGTATTTCTTAACAACCACTGTTTATCAGGATTTGGTGCATAATTCCAACTTGGAGTTCTAAATTAAAAAAAGTATATCATTTTTATTAAAATAACTTCAAAACATAAATATTCAATTTAGTTATTAACGATAAATAAATCTAATTATATTAAGTGAATTAAATTTCATTCAATTAAATTCTGAGAGAAATAAAAAGTGATTTCTTATTCCTAATAAAATTTTTATTAAAAAATAATCTTTTTTCTATAAATCAATATATCTAAAATTTATTCTTGTATGTAATTCCTGAACATCTTAAATAACATATTTAAAATTTTGAAAACTGTTCACAATAAAATTAGAATCAAAGCATGTTTTCAATCTGCCAGATCAAGTATGTAAATATCATTTTGAAATGTATGTATGTTTTTAATAAAGACTTCTTATTTATAATATATAATATTTTGTATTATATATTATACTGAATATATTATATTGTATTATATATTATATTACAGAAATAATGAAACAAAATAAGTTTATATATTATAAGTAATCATCTAGCTCAATTTATTAAAATTGAGCTAGATGATTAGATATAATATATTAAACCAAACACTTACAAGATTTATCGGACTACATTTAGGCTATAAATTAATTATATAATTTGTCTAAAGTATATTTTAATATATTTTATTATTAGTTTTTTTAATATTCTCATTCAAAATTTGAATAAGAATATAAAAATATCTAAAATTTTGGAATATATTAGTGATTTGCTTTTTGTCCTTATGTTATAATATAAATCTATGTGTACTAAGTTTTGACTCTGTGGCTGACTTATTACACACTATTGATGTTGTCAGAGTAATCATCACACAGAAGTGGGTATAAGGTAGACACAGGTTTATTATGACAATGGTATGCATTTCAGACAGTTGTATGTCCCTCTTCAGCCAAATTCAAAATGCATACCCTCTTCTGTGTGATTACTCCAACGATGTCAATAGTGTGTAATAAGTCCTCCGCAGAACCAAAACTTACTGCTCATAGATTAATTTTGGAATATATGTTATCATTTCAAATTTAAAAATAATCTACAAGTTTAAAAGAAAAAAAATACAAAAGTATTTTAAGTAATAATACTTGACATTTAAAAAATAAATACACATGATTATTTTATTTATTTAGTGCTGAATAAAATTAATATACAAGGCAGTCCAAAAAAAGTCAGTTAGCTAATATATATTTAAAAACTTTTAAGAATGGTCTAAACTGACTTTAAACAGCTGCATGGTATTATTTATTTTAACTTTAAAGTATACAAATCATTTGTTGAGACAATGATGTATATTTACTACAATTAAAGCAATTCTCTTAGATCTACACAATATTGAGTTATATCAGTTTGCTATTGTAATATCAGAAATTTTTGATTATTATATAATTTTGTAGACTATCTATAATCTTGTTGTTTATGTATATTAATTAATAGTCAATACATAATATAAATTTATTTTAACAAATTACATTTTATACTATCATCTATAAAACTTACAAGAAAAATTCCTACTCAGTTGATTCAAATAAATTCATAAAATTTAACTGTCTATTAACAAAAAGTAACAAAACATGAATATTGCATATGTGTCATATTTAAGACATAAAATGATGATATTGCATTTATATAAAGACAACAAACATTCATCATCACTGCTTAAAAAAAAATCCAGCAACAAGTTGCTTAACTTACACAGATACATTTAAAATGCATGTGGCATCATCTGTTATATCTTATTTATATCTTATACCTTTTTATATTTTTAAATATTATAAAGTGAAAAAAAGCTTAATTTTGAGGGTAGGGATGTGTTTTATAAAAATTTGTAAATGCTAATAATCAGTACAATTGTCATTAAGTCTGACCCTATTCAAGATATGACACACAACTCCCTTTATTTCTCCACCCTGTCAATCTTTAACCACCAAAATTTAATAGTATCAATCCTCCTAATACCCAAACCCCCTGCAAAATTTCAGAAATTTTTGACAAAAAGCACAGGAGTTATTAAGCTTCAAAGAGGGTAAACAAAATTGTGCCACACCCACACACACACACTAACATCTATACATAAAGTAAAAACCCCCAAATTTTTTTTGCATTTCTTGATGTTTCAAGATCCAGAGTCCAAAAATATAAAAATATTGAGGTCATTTTTTTGGGTGATAGCCATACTTCTCCTCCAACACTAGGAGTTATAATTCAGCACCTCAAACAACCTTTACAGCTCCAGTGGTATGTGTTTACACCTTAAAGCATTTTCAACCTCATCAAGGTCTTCATCAGGCTACTTTAACTAGGAATTCAAACGCGTTTGGAACGGAATGTATACGATTCAAAATTTATAAACAGAATTACTTGATATTACACGTGCGTTACAGTCGTTTTAGCGCGTGCATAACGTTCCATGAGTATTCTTAAATCTGTTTATAAATTTTGAATCGTATACGTTCCATTCCAAACGCATTTGAATTCCTAGTTAAAGTAGCCTGATGAAGACCTCGATGAGGTTGAAAACGTTTTAAGGTGTAAACACATACCACTGGAGCTGTAAAGCTTGTTTGAGGTGCTGAATTATACTTCTCCTCTGTTATATATAATAGAGCCATTAAAAAAAATATATAAATAACAACCCAAATATACTGTTCAACATCATATTATCAGAAGTTTCTCTCTTTAAAGCTAATATTGTAATAAACTATTTTGCTAGATATAAGATATCTTTACTAAATATTTAACTTTAAAACATCTTAAATGCTACATTGTATATGCATCAATACAATATTAAAATAAATAGAATCAAAATCATCATATTCATAAAATAACTTACCTGTGTGTAGTGATATTATGAAATAAATGTTGATAAGGTGGTGCTGTATCTTCTGGTCCATGTGGTGAAGGAAATGATAATACCATTAAAACTGGTTTATTTATGAAATATTGCTTGGATTGTCGGAGAAAAGATATGCTATCATTAGCAATAAGATCAGGATAATAATCTTGATAATAATTATTTCCATGTTTAATTTTGTTGCCATTTATATTTACAGTGTAATTATAAAACCGAGAATTTCGGATTAATCCAGCCCATTCTCTCCATCCTGGTGGTATATATGAGCCATTATAATCATTTAGATATTTTCCAAAGAAAGCTAAGAAAGAAAAAAAATTGAAATTTTACTTACATAACTCTGATGAATCTCATACAATCAATCACATCTTATAAAACTGATTCATTGATAATTTATAAATAATGCAATTGAATCCACATTTTATATTTAATTATTGTTGTAGCTCCTATATATAAAAATTCTAATCTTTGCTTATTTAATGAGACTAATAAATTTCAATTTTTTTAACTCAATTATTTCTGTCATTTAATAACAACCTCTATAGTAATGGTAAAATAATAATTTAATTAGCACGAAAAAAACAATATTTAGTTTTTATCTTAAAAGCTTTTGTCAGTTACATTAGATCAGCAATTAAAAATCGACATTAAAATAAATAAGTAAATAAATAAATAATTTTGAAAATGTCAGTATACATAAACAACTTTCAAAAATGTAACAGACATATTACAGACTGTGTAAATAAAAGTAATATAAATTTTTAATTAAATAAACTAAAACAAAAAAAATAAATTACAAAGACTTTTCCCTTTCATATACATTCCATATATTAAATAAATATAGATAAAACAATGGTAGCATCACCTTTTTCTATTGTTCTCATTTTTAAGCACATTTAAAGTATCATATTATTTTAAATTCAAAAAATGCTTGAATTCAGAAATTTAATATTTTTTCAGGGCTTTGTTTCCCTTTAAGATTTATTATATTTTAGTTTTATTAACAGAAGGTATTTTTTCTTTTTTATCTAAATGGAAAACCTACATTTTTACTTCAAATGCATTGTTTTATGTTTGTGCGTATAAAGATTTATATATTAATTATCTTCATAATTATTTCTATTTGAAAAATATCTAAGTTTACAGTTTTAAATTATTATTATTACTGTTACAAAATAAAACAATTTAAACTACATATATTCACATTTTTTATGTTAACTATTTTTTCAAAATAAAATTCTTAACTGAATTGGATATACAAGTAATATTAAAACTCAAAATCACTAGCAAAACTTTAGTATCAATTTTACTCAAATTTTAGTTTGTATTATAAGTTATTAACTTTGTCATTATTAAAATGCAGAAAAAAATCATACGTAATAAAAGTAAGCTTTTGAAAAAAAACAATAATAATATAATTAAGTTAAAGAAATAAATTTTTATATTATCTACTAGAACTTTACAATAAACTCAAGTAGGGATATACTATTGTATAATACAAATTTCAAGTTTATTATTATATGGTAGCAAACTAATTTGTATTATATAATGGAGGAAAATTTTAAAAACAACAAAAAAAAAATTCTTTTTTAAGTCAATACAAGGAAACATCTACATTAGACTATCTATTTACATGAATCAATATATAAAATTTCTTCTGAATAAAATGAAAAAATACAAGGCTTAAATTAATAAACACAGTTTAATTTTATTTTACATTTTTTCAAAGTTATAATTTAATAATTTTGTACAGAATTGTTGGTAAATTCTCTGTTTTATCAATAATCTTAAATATATTTAATTGACATTGAAAATTTGATTTACTTTACCTGTTCTATATCCAGCATTATTAAGATAAGTAGCAAATGTTCGAGGCTCGTGTTCTTGCTGCCACATAGGAGAACTACAGTTGTCATTATTTGTATATACATTATGATTGTGTACATAAAGGCCAGTTAAAAGAGAACTTCGTGAAGGACAGCACATTGGAGTAGTAACATATGCATTGGGAAAATGTGCTCCACCTTCTCCTAAAATACGTAATGTCTTTGGCATAAAATTCATTGATCCTGTACAAAAAAAATTAGTTACATTAACTTTTATCTTATGTCATCATCAAGTTAATTTTCAGCAAATAAACCAAAGTTAATTTCTTGGAATTATTTTATTAAAAAAATAAATTGTCCATGTTTGTTTTAAATTCTTATTTAGAGAATAAGTTGTTAATGATCCATAGAACACACAAAAAAAACTAAATTATTATTTTATTATTATTATTAAAGACATCAAATAAGTATTTACTACACATCATTTAGTTCCAAAAATGTGATAAAAACAAAAATCAGAAATGCTTAAACAACATTGGAAAGAAAAATAATTAATTTCACTGATATTAAGCACTATCCAGCTAATAAAATATTATCAATACTTAAAACTTTCAAAATGATTCTTATATTAATTAAATTTAATAAAGGATGGTAAAAATGATATTAAAAATTAATAAGCAATTGCTAAAACTATATTTTTAATAATTTCAAATAAAATTCTGATAATATATTAGACTACCAGTCATAATTTTGATAAAATGTATCAAAAATGAATAATTTCCAACTGGTTCAGTTCTCAAAATAATTTTGTTTTTCTTTAATGATTTAATGCTATTTATATATATATTACAGCTTTCATATTAGCTTATGCATTATATATTTTAAATTGTTTGTTTTGAATAAATATTCAAGGATAAATGCAAATTAACTCTGGTTTCAGATCTTACTGAATTAGTTGAATTTCATCATCTATATTGGTATCAGATTTCAGATTGTAATGTAAATGCTATAAAATAAAAAATGAATTCTACAAAACATATATTTAAATGTACAATGTAAATATATTTAGCAATCTCTCTTCATTTGTGAATTATGAATTACAAATAAAACTAATTTTACTTAAATGTTGTCACCAATCAATTTTATGTATTAAATGGATCATCTTTCTTATAATTATTATTTAACAAAATTAATAAAATCAGAAATTAATAATGAAATTAATGTTTTTAACAATTTTGTGGACGAAAAATTAAAATCTTATGTTTAAGTTTTATTCCTAGATCAGCCAGCTATTTAAAAACAAAATAAAATTCAAAAAAATTATTTTATTTTTAAACTTTCCTTACACACTGTTGTAAGACTTCAATGTGACGTCTAAATTTCAATAGGAAATTTACATAAAATAGTAATAAAATTAATTTAATATCATGTTCAATATCGTTTTTTTTTACTTCAAAAATATTATATAAAAATCAGTTTTCTATTATCATTTAATTATCCAAGTTTAATATTTATGAATTTTCTTTATCATCAAATTTGGAGCAAAATTAACAAATAAGTTATTTTAATTCAAATATAAATGAAATATTTAAATTTCATATATTATCTTTTCAAATGTTTGATTAAATACTGAATTATTGCATTAATAAATGCCTAGACAATTGGATACTTTTATTAACATATATTTTATAATTTTAAATAGATTATTAAAATTTTATCAATGGTGATTTCGTACAGTATTTCAAAGTATGTAGTGTGCTCTTCAGAAATTGTGTTTAATCATTGTTGTGTTTTGATACAATAACAATAGATATGTATTTGTAAATTAAAAATATGAAATTATATTAAATGTCTGAAATATTCAATATGAAGTTTTCTACGTGTGTTCTACATCTAAAGTTATTTTTCTTGTAAGAAAAATCAAGTAGTATGATCCAAAAATTCATTAATATATTGGTTGGTCAGTCAGTCATTAATATATTAATTATTATATTAGATTAATTATTAAATTCAATATTGTCAATTTAATATACAGACATCTGGTTATTTAGACTGTAAATAAATTTTAATTAAAGAAATATATCACAAAAGGAGGAAATGCAATCATACCTAATTCAATATCCTGATCATCTGTAATGATGAGAATTATGTTTGGTTTCTTGTCCCTGTTTGATAGTTGCTTACGTGATCTCAATTCCTTCTTATCATTATTTCCCCATGAAGAATATTTACTATTTTGTCTTTGATTCTGTAAATTATAATCTTGTCTGTCTAAAAATGCTTCTGATTTATAAAACAAAGAATCCTGGTGTAAACCATGTCTTTCTCTTCCATTTGCAATTTTTATCAATATCATCAAGGAGAAAACTTCTAATATCAGCAGAAAATTCATTCTTCATTGCATTTTGTAGTTATAAATCTTGAATTATAACCTATTAGTTAAATGATTAAATATCAAATAATTGATATTTCAGAGTAATATTCTTATAATTATATGAAATAAATATGTTGTTAAAATTAAATGAGCATAATAACATTCAAAGTTTATACAGTCAAACCTTAGTTTATGAATTTAATTTGCTCAGAAACTGATTTGTTCTCAAACTGAAACAAATTTTCCCATAAGAAACAATGAAAAATAAATTAATCCATTTGCAACCCTCCAAAATTTTTTTTAAAGCTGTATTTCATTCATAAAAATGTCTACAAATGCAATATATTATAATATATAATATTATCTATATCCATTTTATACATACATATATATATATTAAAAGTGAAATGTTCTGTCATCACCAACTGAAACCAAAACCATCACTTTACAAAAAATTGCTATAAATAGAGATAGAGACTAGACTCTGCCTGCATTAAATATATCCAAATCAATCAAGATGGACAACAAGTACTTTATCCACACTCTTTGAAATACTATGATTCAATTGCTTTGATTTCAATTAAAATTAAAATTAATTNAATTTTTATTATTGTGTTTTGGTCAAATTTTTATAATAAATAAAAATATTTTGTTGTGTTTGTAATTATAATGTGAAAAATAAAAATTTGAAGAAGCCAGTTTTCATAATTTACAAAACCTAGTAATAAATTTGGTAAAGAAAATATCAAACAGAAGAAAAGCTCAAGAATTAGCATTAAAGATGAGAGACATTATTCCATTAATGAGATTTTTTTTTATATTTAACAGAAATTTCATTTTATCAGTTAAGTTAATTATTCTAATAATAGTTGAGATTTTTTTTAAATGTATAGAATTATATTAGTATGAGGTCAAGTAACTAATATGTAGTAACATTTTAATTAACTTTTCAAATTTCATTAAGTTATATACTTAATAAATACACATAAATACTTAATAAATACTTATTTATAATTCATCACACAAAACCTTTTGAAACTCCAGTAATAGACCTAGACAAGGAAGACCCTGATAGGGTCAAAAACGTTTGATGTTTTGTAAACATGTATTACTGGAGTTTCAAAAGGTTGTGTGGGATGAATTATATTTCCTCCAGTATTTGCTAAGAAGTTTATTGANTCCACACTCTTTGAAATACTATGATTCAATTGCTTTGATTTCAATTAAAATTAAAATTAATTTTGATTTTATTTTTAATTTTAGTTTCAGTTTCAACATAAAAATCAGTTTTAATTATCATTTTATTATTTTTAGTTTTAATTAACTGGCTACCTATTGTTAATAAATATTAAACTAAGTATTATTATTACAACATATAATATTTATTAATAAAATGTTGTTATTTAATTTGTTTATAATTTTTTATTTCATTCTTAATAAGCATCTTTAAACACAGATTTATGGATGTCATTTATATTACGTGACTGTCAATTAACGTGGTTTTATTTAATTTGATTTAAATTTGATTGTTATGTGTACCGAAAAACGGAAATAGTATCTTACTTGCATGCATTTTGAAATATAATTTGAATAACTATGTCATCGATGGTTTATGTCACAATGTCTAATGATGCGAGATGATCTCTGTGCCACTAACTTGTAAATCTGTATTCCTGTCATTGATTGGTTGGGCTGTAACTTTCTTTAATGTAGTAAGTATAGGGAGTTGACCAAGTTGACCATTGGGGACAGGCTCTGCCAAGTAGCTTGTTCGGAAACACAATTATTGCATGACAATTGGAGCAAATATGGCATTCAAAATTCTGTTTGTAAACCAAATTGTTTGTACCCAAGTTTGACTGTATGTATATTATATATATAAACTTTGAATGTTATGATGTTATGTTATTTATATTTAGTTTACTTTTAATGTTATATATATACAGTATATATAAATAAAATAAATGTTTGAACAGAAACAGACTTAGAAAATAAATTGGTGCAACAAGCATGTTACAGAATAATTTGAAATCTTGTAATTTTAAATATTTTCTTTCCTCTATTACTGGTTATTTTTTAAATTTTTTATATTTGCAGCTATTTAATCTATACATTATACATAGAATGCTAATATTGCTTATAACTGAATTATTATTAACAACAACAAAAATGCAAAAAGAATTATAAAACAACGTAAAACTCTGCAATTGGATTGCCAAAGACAGACTAATTTTTTTTACACAAAAGCTTGTCAGTAAAGTTAGTTAGTTCCAAGCAATTTCAGTCATTTTCCTACTTTTATTTTAAGATTTATAAAAAAGAAAATTAGATTATTTATTTTGCACCTCCCTGTATAATTTAGAAAGTTAATTTTTCAAATTATAAAATGTTAAACAATTTCAATATCATTACTTAATCAAAAAGCATTAATATACTGCATATTTACAATTTTCTTTTGGAATGAAAAGCTCACTGTACAGAGATTTTTCAATTTGTTTATTTTCAGATTCTTTCAGAAACAAGATTTCTACTTTTACAATTTAATTGATCCTTGGAAAATGGCCATTAAGTAAGCTATCATATTTCCTATAAACTCGGTGTCAACAATTACATTAATTAAAATGCAGTTTTAAGTATGCAATACCATACAGAGCAAGCCAATAAAACACAATGCTTAAATACAGTATTTCATGATAGAAAATGCATAGCAATAATAAAAGTGGGAGGGTCATAAATTTATCATGTATTATTGTTTTAATCTTACAATCTATAACTATGTATAATAATGATGTAATTATAATGTACTTTAATTCAATTAATAAATTAAATCTAATAATAATAATAATCTGTATATGTATAAATATATATATTAAAGCAAAATGTTCTGTCCTCACCGAAACTATAACCAATACTTTACAAAGAAGCAACAAGTAAGTAAATCACACCAGGTCGTCTGTGAAATATACAATTCGTTCCTCAGCATGGATTCATGGAAAGGGTTAACAAAGGGAAGGAAAGTCTTTGCATAGGGATAGGAAACACAAAGACTTCACTTCTGATTCAGACTTGGAGTTGAAGACACAGCTATTCATTATATATATAAAGCAACATGTTCCCCTTTATCACCACACAAATAACAAATTTAAAAATTAATTTGATTTTCAATTTGAAAATTTCAAAAAACTTTTACACAGTTTTTATGAATGTTTTAATTTTCAATTGATTTAATTTTATTTTTAGTTTTGGTATAAAGGCCAGAGTTTTAATTATTATTTTATTATTAAATTTAAATGCCAAATTGAATTGTTTATTTTAGTTTTAATTTCTTTAGTATTAATTTGGTTTTTATAATTATTTATTTAGTTTTTCCTGCATTTTTTGAACCCTTAATTACAATTTTTTAAATTAATTGCAACTCTCTTTCTTTTGCAACATAACTATAGAAATTGCTTTAGCGTTGTTTTTCAGAAATGATGATCAAATTTAAATTTATTTTAATTTTTTAGTAGTTTCATTAATTTTTGTTTGTTGTTTTAGTTCTTAAAGCAGTGATAGCTTCAATTTTAGTTTACAAAAACTAATATTGAAAGTTTGGAAGGTATTAATTAGTTTTTGTAAATTATAAAAAAAAATATTTGATAGATTTCAAAACTGCAAATGTAATATGAAAGCAGGATCCTAAAACTGAAAAATCAGACCACTAATGAACCTCAGATAGAAAAATTAGCATTAAATACGTAAACAACAGAAGATTTCCTATTAAACAAAATATTTAATTCCTTTATAATCATATTATTATTTTCTTTTCATACATGACAATCTCAGAGAAAGAGTAATCCAAGTACAGTTTTTGGTGTATAGCCTTAGCATGTGAAGATTGTTTAAAAGCAACTGCTTTATTTATCGCAATACAGATATAAATTTGTAGTTACATTCCAGGCCAAAATGAACAAACAAAAGAAGAAAATATGGGAAATATTTTGTATTATTGAAGTTCTCATTAATTATCTTAAAATAAGGATTTACTGACATGGATCAATTTTGCTCTGAGGTCATTGTAGAGTTTGTTGTTTTTCCAATATATATTAAAAAGTTAAATAAAGTAAAATTTGTATTTTTTTAATCATTCAAATTAATTATTTTGATCCATAATTTGAAGTTACTAAATTTCAAATTTAACTTTGACCTACCTATGGAAATAAGGCTTACCATTCCTATCCTAGAGTTTTGAAATATTTATAAACATTATCTTAAATAAAATTATTGAAAAACTAAACAATTTAATGTTTTCTTAATTAAAAATATTACCTTTTGCATATCCACATTCTGAAGAGTTAAAACCATAAATAAACTTTTAATTTAAAAAAAATGGGATCATGAATAGGTGTTTTGTCAAACCAAGTTTCATTAAATCTGTAACAGCAAATTAAAATAATAACTGTAATGAACAAAATCATTTTGTTTTCAATATGGTTCAAGTTATATCAATCAAAGCATTTTATCCATAGAGAAAGATAGAGAAGCACAGGCTATATTATGATCATTACTTTCACTTTCAAGAGACAATGGCCAGAATACAGCACCAGTGAATTTGAATTCATTAGTTCTGTTTCAGCTCATCCCTAATTCCTTTAAAAAAAATTTTATTCATATTGCTTTGGTTTCTATTCACTTTATATTTTTATTTCTAACTTCTTGAACTAAAAATAAATTATGTAAAAGACTATTTCATCTCTCTTCTCTCATTGTCTTTTATGTTAACATTTTCATAACAATGTTATAAATAATGAGTTAATTTGTTAGATATGAGCTACGACAAAGAAATTAACAAGTTGCTGCTACTTTACTTATTTTATTTCATCCAAACACAAAATATGACTAGTTGTTCAAATTCGTTCCATTAACTTTAAACTCCCTACATTGCTAATTTTCTAATTAAATTCTTGAATATGGATATTTATTAATCCCAAATGCTTGAATACAAACAATCCTTGATTTTCAGATATAATGCATTTCTGAGAATGTGTAGTAAAGTTGAACAAAGTTGCATATTATGAA